TTCATCACTTGATTCAGCAGACCCTCAAGTTCCCACAAAAGTTTCCAGCCATGTCTGAGAGGCAGCCGGGGGGCAGGAGCAGGCGAGAAGCGAGCTGTTCCGGGCCTGGCTGCTCCGGGCCTGGCCTCTGTTGCTCTGGTTCGTTCCACAACCAGCTGCTCCGGGTCTGGTCACCGCCGCTCCCGACCACGTTGCTCTGGACCTGGCTGCTGCTGCTCTGGGCCTGGCCGCATCTGACCCGGCTGCTCTGGGCCCAGCTGCTCCGGGCCTGGCCGCTCCCAGCCTGGCAGCCGCTGCTCCGGGCCTGGCCGCACCAGACCTGGCTGCTCCGGGCCTGGCCGCTCCCAGCCTGGCAGCCGCTGCTCCGGGCGAGAATCAAATTTTTTAAACTTAAAACTTCTTCTAACGCCACTTCTTCAAAATAGACTCACGCAGACCGTGGTATTTTGTGGAAGAGCCGCATGTGGCTCGCGAGCCACAGTTTGCAGACCACGGCCATAGTAAGAGGCAGTCTGCTAGGAAAAAAACTCTTCCCTTCTCTCTCCGCAAAGAAAAAGCATCACGGTCCCAACATAATCCTTTCTTAATAGCTCCCTTTCAGGAGAAGTGATTGTTCCTTCTTCCAGCTTGGGGACATTGGGCACCCACTAGCTGGGGTCTGCTCCCCAGAGTGGGCCCCTGGCCAAGGCCACTGGGAAGCTCGCATGTGACCTGGACCTTGAAGGATTGGGTAGGCTCTCTTAGGGGGAAAAATAAAAGCTCATCTTTTCCCCTTATAAAAATGGTACAAAAAAATATGGGAAAGTTCAGAAAAATGGGGAAAAGAAAGTATCATGGTTTTTAAATTTATATCTATTAAATTACATTTTTATTGATTTCAGAGAAGAGGGACCTTTTTATCTGGTGGAGAAACTAGATACTGTGAGCCCTGGCTGGTTTTGCCCAGTGGATAGAGCACCGGCCTGCGGACTGAAGGGTCCCAGGTTCGGTTCCAGTCAAGGGCACATGCCTGGGTTTCGGGCTCAATCCCTAGTGGCAGGCTGGTTCTCTTCTGGCTCTTCCACAGCCTGACTGGCCCAATTCTTAGCACCAGGGATTCTGCCATAAATACAGAAATGCAGCAGGTACATGGAGCCTCTTTGGACCAAGATCCCTCCACAAGTCTGATTCTGAGGCTTTGCCACCCGGCCCCACAGAGGATCCCAGGAGCCTCTCCAGTGGAACTGAAGCACATGCAGGCCGCCCGATGGCCGAAGAACCAGCAACCTTTACGCCACCCAAGGTGGATGGACCTCCCAGTGATGGAAGGGGAGAAACAGCGCCATGGACCCATCATCTCAAACCCCGTGGCTTGAATGTGCTCACACCCACCGGCTTCTAGAGCTTTTCCTCCATTGACACTGAATAGAGGGTGTCTTGCACCCACTTCCTTTATTACCCTGGCTCTGACATAGGAATGGTTTGTTTGTTTTTTGTTTTTTTTTTAAATATATTTTTTATTGATTTTTTTACAGAGAGGAAGGGAGAGAGATAGAGAGCTAGAAACGTCTATGAGAGAGAATCATCCATCAGCTGCCTCTTGCACACCCCCTACCGGGGATGTGCCCGCAACCAGTGTACATGCCCTTGACCGGAATCGAACCTGGGACCTTTCAGTCCGCAGATCGACTCTCTACCACTGAGCCAAACCGGTTTCGGCTGGGTTTGTTGTTTTTAAACCTCTTAACCTGGGGCTACCTAGAACTGGAGGCATAGTTGGTTTTTGAGAAACATTAGTGCAAGGCTTGTCCTTGTGTGGAAGAAGCCATTGAGTATTGCTTTAATTTAAAGTTAGACTACCTACTCTCAACAGTGATGTATGGGGGCCTCATCACCAATTTCTGCATTATTTAGCCTAGACAAGAACTTGATCATTGCTTACGAGGTAGACAATGTTTGTGTTGCTCCCAAACCAAGGTTCCCCCCCTCCACCCATACCAAGGCTTCTTGGTTGCTTTACCAGGATCAGCGAGGGCATGGACCAGGGGGAGCAGAGGTGTTCACTGACTAGTCTCTGGCCTTCTCGGCGGCTGATGCTGTGCGTTCCAGCCTTGTTGGTGCAGGGACCTACAATCTGCTTGGCAGGGACCCTTCTCCTGCGTGGAGGCTGGAGCCCTGGCTATGGCTGTTGGGCAGAGCTGTTTTTATTTATTTATTTTTTAATTTTTATTGATTTCAGAGAGGAAGGGAGAGGGAGAGAGAGAATAGAAACATCACTGATGAGAGAGAATCATTGACTGGCTGCCTCCTGCATGCTCCCCACTGGTGATCAAGCCCGCAACCTGGGCATGTGCCCTTGACCGGAATCGAACCTGGGACCCTTCTGTCCACAGGCAGACACTCTATCCACTGAGCCAAACCAGCTAGGGCTACATTATTGTTTTTGAGTGGTGCCAGTGACATTTTTATTGTTGTTAATCCTCACCTGAGAATTTTTTTCCATTGAATTTTTAGAGAGAATGGAAGGGGGTGGGGGAGAGAAACATCAATGTGAGAGAGACACATCAATTGGTTGTCTCCTGCACTTACCCTGACTCCCAACCAGGGCCTGGGATTGAACCTGCAATCCAGGTTGGTGACCTTGACAGGGACTCAACCATGTGACTTCATTGCTCTGGTCGGTGCTCCAATCACTGAGCCACACTGGCCAGGGCCCCAGTGATGTGTTCCTATCTAGTCACAGGTAATCTTAATTAGCTTAGTTATTAAGCTCATCCTTATCATGGAATCTAGGTTTCACTTCTGAGTCTCTCAGCCCGCCCTCATTCCCTTCCTGCTCCACCTTTACGGGTGCCCGGTGCCCGGAGACAGGGTGGAGGAGGAGGGAGGGAAGGCACCGCAGGCAGTGTCCTGGCTTTTGACTTTGGGCCAGTCCTTTCCCTCTGTGGGTTCGTTACCTCCTCAGACTCCCTGGTTGGGAAGCTCTTTGCCCTCACCACACTGTGCGTGGGACTCCACCCCAGGTAGCTGCACCCCAAACCCTCATGTTCCGAGACCCAGGCAAACAGAGGCATAAAGTCAGTGGGGCTTTTGTGGAGAGGCGTGGGCCCAGGCCCAGGAATTATGTCTTTATTTGAGTAAAGTCATTTCCAGGCGATGGTGGAGGGTCTGGAGACAGACCCTTCTTTGGAAGTGTAGCCAGTAATGTTGGTGGTGAGACTGTACCTCGGTTCTTTTAAAAAATACATATTTTTATTGATTTCAGAGAGGAAGGAAGAGGGAGACAGAGATAGAAACATCAGTGATGAGAGGGAATCATTGATCCGCTGAACATCCCCTCCTGGGGATCGAGCCTGCCACCTAGGGATGTGCCCTTGACTGGAATTAAACCTGGGACCCTTCAGTCTGTAGGCTTTATTCACTGAGCCAAATCAGCTAGGGTCTCAGTTCTTTTTTTTTTAATATATAATTTTATTGATTTTTTTATAGAGAGGAAGGGAGAGGGATAAAGAGTTTGAAACATCGATGAGAGAGGAACATTGATCATCTGCCTCCTGCACACCCCCTACTGGGGATGTACCCGCAACCAAGGTACATGGCCTTGACTGGAATCGAACTTGAGGCTCGCAGGCTGATGCTCTATCCACTAAGCCAAACCGGTTTCGGCGTCTCAGTTCTTTTTTAAAAAAATTATTTTTATTGACTTCAGAGAGGAAAGGAGAATGAGAGGGAGAGATAAATAGACACATCAGTTGGTTGTCTCCTGCAGGCACCCTGACTGGGGCCCAGGGTTTGAGCCTGCAACCAATGGAGCTTGGTTCTTGAGTTCTGCAAAGAAAGATTCAGAGCCGCCGAAACCGGTTTGGCTCAGTGGATAGAACGTCGGCCTGAGGACTGAGGGGTCCCGGGTTCGACTCTGATCAAGGGCATGTACCTTGGTTGCGGGCACATCCCCCGTAGGGGGTGTGCAGGAGGCAGCTGATCGATGTTTCTAACTCTATCCCTCTATCTTCCTCTCTGCAAAAAATCAATAAAATACATAAAATAAAATAAGAGGCATTATTTAAAAAAAAGATCCAGAGCCAAGAATTCAAATTATAAGAAAAAGTTTATTTAGAAAGTTACAGAGGTAGAAATGAGCCACAGAAGAAATGGACTCAGGAAACAAGTTACAAAAGCAAAAGAAGGGCCTTGACAGCAGCTGCCAGGCTGGGAGCGGCCAGGCCCGGAGTGGCCGGGCCTGGAGCAGACCGGCCCAGAGCAGCCGGGTCGGGTGCAGCCAGGCCCAGAGCAGCAGCAGCCAAGCCCGGAGCAACCAGGTTGGGAGCGGCAGTGGCCAGACCCGGAGCAGCTGGTTGCGGAATGAACCAGAGCAACAGAGGCCAGGCCCGGAGCAGCCTGGCCCGAAACAGCTTGCTCCTCGCCTGCCCCCGCCCCAAGGCTGCCTCTCAGACATGGCTGGACACTTTTGGGGGAACTTGAGGGTCTGCTGAATCAAGTGATGAAGGCTTAGATATGGATGTGTTGAGTTAGTATAGCGCTGGGGTGTTGATCTGTGAGTGCCTTGTGTGGGGCCTGGATGAGGTTGGTTGACCTATTTGGAAATGTCTTTTGTGTGAAGTGTATCTTTGAGCATGTGGAGGTATTATTGATATGAGAAAATGCTAAGTAACTGATTTACTATCTGAAAAGGGATTTGCTGTCAGGGAAAGAAAGGAGGAAGAGACTGAACATAAACTGTGCACCTATGGATGAGGACAATGGGGGAGGGGAAGGGGGCAGAGGGTGGGGTGGGAACCTGGTGGAGGGGGGAAGAAATGAGGAACCTTTGTAATAATATGAACAATAAAGATTGATTAAAAAAAAAAAAAAAGAAGGGCCTTGAAGCTAGGAGAGGGAAAGAGGAAGGCACCGGGCCTGAGGGTAAGAAGAGGGGGCCAGAAGATGCAGGTGTGTCCTGGCGGGAGAGTGTGCTGGGTCCTTCCTCTTGAGGTTTTTTGTTTGTTTGTTTGTTTTTGTTTTTAACTGTGGAAAACTTTACAAATTTGTCTGTCATCCTTGCGCAGGGGCCATGCTCATCTCTGTATCATTCCAATTTTAGTATATGTGCTGCTCAAGTGAGAACTTCTTGAGGGTTTTAAGCTGGGAGTTGCCCTGGCTCAGTGGTTGGCAAACTCATTAGTCAACAGAGCCAAATATCAGCAGTACAACGATTGAAATTTCTTTTGAGAGCCACATATTTTAAACTTAAACTATATAGGTAGGTACATTGTTATTAACTTAATTAAAGCACTCCTTTGCTGGCCTTTGCTAAAAACTCAAGGGCCCAAAGAGCTGCATGTGGCTAGTGAGCTGCAGTTTGCCAACCACTGCCCTAGCTGGTTTGGCTTAGTGGATAGAGGGTCCCTATGGACTGAAGGGTCCCGTGTTCAATTCTAGTCAAGGGCACATACCTGGGGTTGTGGGTTTGATCCCCAGTAGGGCGCACGCAGGAGGTAGCCAGTCAATGATTCTTATCATTGATGTTTCTATCTCTCTCTTCCTTTCCCTTCCTCTCTGAAATTTATTATATCCTATATAATAAAAGGCTAATATGCCAATAGACAAAATGGGGGAACAACTGAACAACCGGTTGCTATGATGTGCGTTGACCACCAGGAGGTGTGTGCAGAACATGCTGGGCGTTGGCTGTGGCAGGATGGTGGAGCAGGTAAGCTGGGGTGCCAGACCAAGGTGGGGTGCTGGCCACTGTCATTGGGGCAAGCCTCTGGTGGTTACTGAAAATTCTTTGCTCCTGTGCACTGTGGTCCCGCCTGGCACTCGTACCCGCTGCCAGTGCCAGAGCTGCCACTTGCACCACTTCCAGTGCTGGTCCCGCTCACACCTGCTACTGGTGCCCAGTGCCAGTCCCAATCACTTGACACCATCAGCAGGTGAGACTGGTGGCTGCTTGCTCTGATTGCTCCTGAGGGCTTCTCCACCTCCCCCTGCTCCTGAGGGGCAATCAGGGCAGCAGTAGCTGCTCACACTTGCTGATAGCACTGGCCCTGCTTGCACTTGCTGCTGGCGCTGACCTCAATTGCTCCAGCGGAGCTGGCACTGTCAGTGCATGGGAGCAGGGCTGCTGGCAGACAGGGGACTGGGAGGGTATGGGCAAGGGCACAAAGGATGGGCTGAGACCTGCCCCTGTTCCTACTGCAGCCTCGTGGCCCACAATTCCTTTCAAGGTGCACGAATTTATACACTGGGCCCTAGTCTCTCTCTCTCTCTCTCTCTCTCTCTCTCTCTCTCTCTCTCTCTCTCTCTCTCTCTCTTTCTCCATATATATATATATAAAAGCCTAAGTGACTGGCCAACTGGCTGACCATCCGGTAGCTATGACATGCACTGACCATTAGGGGGCAGATGCTCAATGCAGGAGCAGAAACCACAGGCATGGAAACACAGAACAGACTGATGAATCTCAGAGGGAAGGAGGAAGAGGGGAGGGCGGGAAGAGATTAACCAAAAATCTTAGATGTATACTAGAGGCCTGGTGCATGGATTCATGCACCAGTGGGGTTCCTCGGCTTGGTTTGCGGGGATCGGGCTGAAACCAGCAGTCTGACATCTCAGAGGGGTCCCCGATTGTGAGAGGGTGGAGGCCAGGCTGAGAGACCCCATTGGTGTACTAATCCATGCACCAGGCCTCTAGTTTATATAAAAGGCAAATATGCTAAGTGCCTAACCATCTGACCAGTCACTATGATGCACACTGACCACCAGGGGGCAGATGCTCAATGCTGGAGCTGCCGAGCTGCAGTGACTTGGCAGCAGTGGTTCTCAGGTGATGCACCCTGAAAACAGAGAGGATGGAGCCTGATTCCTTGAAGGGCTGCAAGATTCCACCTTTGGCCGTGGGTTATGTTGTTGCTGGGGCACTGTCAGCCCTGAATCTGGTTTACTGCACACTTGTGTTTGTGTTCCACGCCTTGTATGACAGCAACTTTGCAGAAGGCCTTCTCACACTCTGGGACCCTTCGGGGGAAGTTGGAGAGCCGGTTTTGGCCCAATCCTCACAGGCCAGGCCGAGGGCCCCACCTGCCAGAGGGATCCCACTTACTTTGCAGAAGCATTTCGAGCAATTGCCACCCAGCTGTGGCCGGAGGTTGGCTGTGGAACGGGACTGGGTGAGACAGACGGGCCACCTTCGAATTAATTTCCTTTCAATGTGGACGAATCCATGCACCAGGCCACTAGTACATGGAGATCTTAGGGGCTGATCTCAATGGAATATTCATCAGCTTTATGCTGATGGGGCAAGATGAGATTTATTTCCTTGTCCTTGGGTGTGGTTGGCAGAAATGGCACTGATTGGATATCTGCTATCTATCTCCCTGAGTAATTTAAGCTATTTATCCTCTGGTTGGGAGGAGATGAGTAAACCATTTACTCTTAAGTGTCCTTGGTGAGGAAAGATAGGATTTTGTGATTCACTAGAAGGCTATAAACCACTTGGCCCTTTAAGTGTGTCTGTTTTCCTATTCCACTTGCCTGGCTCACCAACCTCTCGGAAGAACACCTAACTGCTTCCCCCTAAAATGCTGGGGCCCTATTGGCTGGGAACTCCTGAGACCTGGTGACCTCACAAAGCCTGTACCGCTGGCCTGGGCTCGGGGAGCCTAGGTAAGACGGGAGGTGGCTCTGGGAGAGTCCCCAGGGTGGGGGCCTTCACGGTCCAAGGGTTACCACCTAGACCCCACCCCCCTGGGTAGACCTCTCTCCCTCTGGCTGTGATTCCACAGTTAGAACGTCATACCTTTGGCTTACGGCTAAATTTTCTGTTACCATGTGGATGCCCCAGGTGGAGGTAACACATTGAACTTTCCATCAGCAGCCCACGGCTCATGGAGAAAGTTTAGATTCTCAAGTTCTGGGAGTGTGGTGGGTGAGGATTGGGGGCAGGTGAAGGAGAAGAGAGCGGGAAGACCAGGAAGGGAGTGTCATAGACTGGGGGAAAGAGAAGGCAGATGACCCAGAAGCACCATACATAGATATCGCAATGTTATTAACTATCTTCCTTATGCTTTACTTCACATCCTGTGACTATTTTGTAACTACCAGTTTGTGTTGAACAAAATTTTAAGGGAAGATTTTTGTGGCTCAATTTGGGACCATTGTCGAGAGGGGAGAGGGTAATTCCAAAACCAGCTCTGAGGCAATGGGGACTTCACTGGGGTCTGGCAGTAGTGATAGAGACATGGGAAGATCAGATCTATCTAACATCTGTCATTTATCTGTCATTTATCATCTATCTATCTATCTATCTATCTATCTATCCATCCATCTATCTATCAATCATCTGTCATCTATCTATCTATCTATCTATCTATCAATCACCTGTCTGTCTATCTATCTATCTATCTACCTATCCTCATCATCATTGTTTATCTATTATCTATCTATCTATCTATCTATCTACCTATCATCTATCTGTTTATCTATCTATCTATTCATCTCCTGTCTGTCTGTCTGTCTGTCTATCTATCTATCTATCTATCTATCTACCTATCTTTCATCTATCTATCATTTATAATCTATCTATCTTCCTTTCTACATGGGAATATATTTAGGAGCTTTTCTGGAGCCAGAATGAGCAGAGTTTGGCTAAATCGAATGCAGCAAGTGAGGGAGAGAGCTATCAAGGATGATAGTTTTTGGCTTGGACAGTGGTGCCAGTTTCTTTCAATGGAAGAGAAAAGAAGGATCCAATTTGGGAAAAGATGGCATGTTCTGGTTTGGATCATCTAGATATGAGATGTCCTAATGCCAGATGTATGTGTGCACTGGCATGCATGTGTATGTGCACATACATGAGTGCCTAATATTCTGGGCCCATACATCTCATAATCGTGTTCTCAGTGAGGAACTGGAAGACCTGCTGAAAGTGCCTCCCCCCGAGGGCACCAACAAGGGGCTGGCAGGGCTCACTGAGGAGGGAAGACACAATGGGAATCAGTCAATGATTCTCCAGTCGTGGACAGGACTAGCTGTTTTATGGCCGCCCTCTGCCCTCCCTGTTTGCGGCTCCAGCTTTGGAGCAAAGGCCAAAAGGTAGCATGTGGCTGTCAAATAGTAGTGAGCTTCCTTTAGCTCCCCTGGGTGGTCCCACCCAAGTCCCTCAAGAACCATCACTTTTCAATGCACAATGGCCTTAAAAAATCTTTTAAAATGTTTTTATTGATTTTTAGAGAGAGAAAGGGAGAGGGTGAGAGAGAGAGAAACATTGATGAGAGAGAAACATCATCAATCATCTGCCTTCTGCATGCCCCCTACTGGAGATTGAGCCAGAAACCCTGGTATGTGCCCTGACCGGGAATCGAGCTTGTGACCTTTTGGTGCAGGGGATCATGCTCAACCAACTGAACTACACTGATTGGGCCTTTTTAATTGATGAGAGAAAGAGAGAGAGAGAGAGAGAGGAGAGAGAGAGAGAGAGAGAGAGAAAGAGAAAGGGAGAGAAAAAGAGAGATCAATCGATTATGGTTGCCTCCCTGAACCTGCCACCTTCTGGTACACAGGACGACACAGCCACACCTGACAGGGCAAACAATGGCCCTTTAATGGAGGGCAAACGTGGGCGGCCTCAGTAATTGTCAGGCAGCTCTGAAGTCATTGCAGGATGAAGGAGGGTTGCAGGAATAGGAGAAAGTGTGTGTGTGTGTGTGTGTGTGTGTGTGTGTGTGTGTGTGTGTGTACACAGGCGGAAGGGGAGATCAAGAGAAGATCCAGGGCTTTTTGGAGCCTAAATTTTTTTTTAATTATAATTTTTTAAAATTATTGATTAAGGTATCACATATTTGTACGGTTTAATTATAATTTTGAGGCTCCTCTTTAAGTTAAAGAAGACAAAATTGTGAACGCAAAATTGAGTACAGTCACTTTGTAAAGGGACCGCAAGCAAGGAACCCTGGCATTTTAAACTGAATCAGATTCAGGGTAAAATTTCTTCCGGAGCTGATGGTGAGTGAGCGTTTCCCACTTTCCAGGCAGGATGCAAGGCTGTGCGCGATCTGCTTGCTGGGAATGGAGGCAGCTCCCACGCTGCTCTGCCTCCCCTTCCCCACTGCACAGCCGCTGCCTCCT